ATCTCACAAACTCTATACCCTCAATATTTTTTCTATGTCCCTCTTTGAAAACATTTGTATAGTTAAGATATAAAACATTTGACATAAGTGTTTCAATGTCATGAAACTCTTATAGAACCACTATATAATAGTCTAGCAGATATACTATCCCAGTCAATATATTCTGCTTTTTTCAAAACCTCTCTCACAATATTTTTGTTATCTAATGGTATACGTTCCATCTTACCTATAGGTATCTTTTCTTTTAACTCTTTCAATATATTGTTTGTGTCTGGTATATGTTTGAGACGGTCCATATAGTTGTCGAAGTCATTGCATATAAGCTTTGAGTCTGGGAATATTGTATGGCACAAATGGGATATATAGAAACTTCCACCGAACAAATCTACAAATGTTAGACCATTCGGTAGTTTCTTAAGTTCTCTCAATAGAATATCTTTACATTTACTCTTATTTCCAAAGAACGGTAACGGTGGTTTTGTAAAATTCATTTATATATAATAATAAAAATGTTTTTTCCTGAAAAGTGACAGAAAAGGCTTCTCAAAGTATACTTCCTTGGAACGCCTGTAACTTTTCCTGTAGCGACGATAGACCCTTACTTGTCCGGACAAAGTTATACTATTTTGAGTGCTCTACCAAAAATTTTTTTTGGGTACTGGGCGCAACGCGCCTGGAAGCCCCCAGTACCCAAAAAACTTCATTTATACTAAACATCTTCAGGGCTAGAGGGCACGAAGTGCCTGGAGGCCCCACTACCTTTTTTTTTTTTTTATTAGCATAATAGTCATTAAATTCTTCAATAGATGAAAAAATTTTTATTTCAGTAATTGGTTTAACAACGTTTATTTTTTGTTGAACATTTTCACTTTCATTTATTTCTTCCTCCTCTGTTTCATTTATTTTTAAAATCGGTTTCATTTATTATTAAATAAAAATTAGAATATAAGTGATGAAATATATTTTTTAATTAATATTAAATCAGAAATGGCTGCAGGATTCTTTAAAAAATTATGGGATGAAATTAAGAAAGCTGCAGGTTGGGTTCATAAAAATATTATTAAACCCGTTGCAAACTTTTTGGCACCAGTAGCGAAAACGGCAGGAACTATCATAGGTGGAGTATTAGGTACTAAAGCAGGTAATCCGGCAATGGGAGCACAAGCAGGTAACGCAGTTGGTGGAATTGCTGAAGGAATACTTAATAAAATAGGAGGTAGATAGTGGAAAAATAAATAAATATTATTTTTATCTTAGTATTGGTTGAAGTCTTTGATAAACTTTTTCTCCTTTATTTAATATTTCTCTTATTGGGGCAGCTTTTGGTGTTATTGATTCAGCAACATCACTAATTGCTTCTTTATTCTTAAATATCCAATTTGCCCCCTTCTTCATTGTTTCCCAAACTTTATGCGCTCCTCTTTTTACTTTATCCCACAGTTTCTTAAAGAATCCTGCAGCCATAGTTGATTATTTCATTAAAATTAAAAATTCATTTTCATCTTTTAATTTTGATTTTTTATTTATTAATAAATGACGACTAACTATTTAGTGCCAAACACTAAACCGATTAATGGAAATGTGTTTCATTCATTCGAAAAGATAAATGAAATATTCGCAAAGAATGACGGTAGAAGATATTATAGAGAACTTGAAAGTTCATGCTATGACTCTGATGCTCCATATTTTGATGATAAACAAACTCATTTAAGAATTACAAATCCAGCTCATGATGTGAATCAATTAGGTGACACATATATTAAACGCAAAGTTAAAGCAACTCTAGTTTCAAATAAAGCTTTCACATGTGATGCCGCTTTTAAATGCATGCGTTTATTCGTTGGTTACAAATCATCAAATCAAAGCTTTAAACAATTAGAAGTAGAAACTGAAAGAGGTGATGCCGGTTATCTTCAGATGGATTGCGCCCGTGAATCTTTCGCATTTGCAACATATAAACCAAAATCAGAAAGGAAAGTTAAAAAGTTTGTTCATTCGTTATATAATAATGTTCAAAAATATGATAACTCAGTATGTGGTAAATATATTGACCCTTCAGAAGTTTTCAAGAACGCAAATGAAGAAGTTGATATCACTTTTGATATGATTATTCCGGTAAATGATTTGTTAGCATTTCAGGCGTTCGATGATTATCCTAAATCATTTGGTGATATCATTCTTAAATATTATGTTTTCAGGGATACTTTAGTATTTTATCAGGTTGACCCGTTAAGAGTTGCTGATTTACAAAATTACGTTTATGAAAAGATAACTGATGAAAATTATGAAAAGATTATGAATCATGTTTATAAATATGATCGCAAATTCCAACAAATCGGACTTCCTGCCAAATTAATTACAAGCTTAGCCGCTACATCTGCTGACGCAACAGTTGATGACGTTATTATTTCATGCACAAAGATGGAAGTTTTAGAGGATAAATGCATTACACCAGGATACGGTTTAATTGAAGAATCAGTTAAAGCAATACCACGTTTATTCAGTAAGGAAGATCCATTCATGATTCCAGCTCAACATATTGACGTTCGTTCACTAAATGGAGGTTGCATCACTCCTGAAGGTATTAGCTCAGATTTCTCATACGCTCTTCATAATGTTACAGATGTTGTGTTAACATTTCCGAAGAATGCAATGCAAAGAACAGTTTTAGAAAATCCAATGCTTCGAGGTCTTCAGGTCACTATAGATTCCAGAAACTTCCCCGATCAAGCGATGACCACAGTGGGTGATATATTCTTTACACGTATGCTTCAAGCTTCTGATTTAGATGGAGTGAATGAATGCACGGAAGAATACGAGGACTCATTAACTAGACCACTGAATGATGATAATGGCACGCCATTAGCTAGAACATGGAAAGACCAAACTTCATTCTTATGCACTATTCCAGTTCAACGTGATGGAGCGGGTATATTCTTTGATGGATTAGAAACTTTCAACTCACAAGTTACAGTACAAGTGAAAGCTTATCCAATCATTCAGGGTGTAAATGACACTTACTGTTCAAAGGTGACAAATCCTCCTCAGGTTTGGTTTACTAGGACTACGTATTGGACATGGACACCGGATGAAGGTTTGAAATATCATCCAACAGGTACACCACCACAGTATAGAAGTTCATATGATGAAATATTGATGAATAGAAATGTTTAAAATTATAAATTTATTTTTGATTAAATGGATTTAAATTCATCCACCCCTTATGAAGAATTAGCAGGAGTATATAATACATACGTAGATGATATGATTAATGAAGCATTGAGTGATAATAGAAATGCTCTATCTAAGGAAAAATTAATGAAAATTCCATATTCTGAATGTTACTTAAATTCAATCACTGCAGCAATTGGTAAACAAAATAAAGGTAAAACATTAACGATATTAAAACAAATTATCATTATTGCTAACACTTCCCCCCATTCACATGTGTTAATTTATATCAACCGTTCAGGTTCACCTTCAGATGATACATTTGAATCTTTAAAGCATTTAATCAAAATTCCAATTATTTATTTATCACAAGAAGAAGCAGAAGATTATTTAAAAAACTTTTTAATGTATAAAGAATTATATAATACAATCAAGAAGCAAGGATTAGAGGATAAAATTATTGATAAACAACGGGATGAATTATTTGAAACACTTTCTATTTCAAATTTTGATAGAGAATTTTTGCATTCACTCATTTTTCTAGATGATGCAGTGAAATCAAAAACTAATAACAAATGAGAAATCATATTTTAATCAGTTATTAACTCAATGTCGACACATTCAGTGTTCATTCTTCATGGCTGTTCAATATTTCAAAGCATTAAGCACAAACATTAAATCAAATCTATCAACACTTTTCATTTTCAGTGGGTTTAGTCGTCAACAGTTGAACGTTATGCTTTATCAAGTGAATTTACCAATGAGCATTAATGAACTTTACACACAATATCAGCAATTAGGTGAACATGGAAAAATAATAGTTGATTTAAATAAAGGAAGTGTTAAATTTGATTAACTTTTTATAATTAATTTTTATTTTTTATTTATAATTAAACATGACAGAAATAGCAAATCTTCTACAGGTTCCATTAAAACAAGGAACAAACAAAAAGGGTGCATATAATAGAACTATGAAAGTTCCTGATGGAATGAAAGAATTAGTTCATATTGTTGCTGGTCTTCAAAAAGATGTTAAACAAATGAGAAACGTTTTAACATTACCAGAAGCTCAAGCATATGCCAAACGTCATGGTCCAAATTGGGAAGCACACGAAGCAGACATTACGGGTCCAAATGGAAAACCGATGGTATAAATGAAGTTTTCGTTACTGATGGTCAAGGTAATATTAAAGTCATAAATGGTTATAAATTAACTATATCTGATTATCCTAAACGTAAAATATATAATGAACGTTATCCTATGCAATTTGATGAAAATGGAAAAGCTGTTAAACAATACATTGGAGAAGGTGAAAATGGTCCAATTAATTCATACCGTCATAATCCATATTCTTATTTCAATGAAGAATTAAATGCTATTGAAGAGGGACCGGATGGATTACCACGATATTCTAACCAGTTTGATGGTCAATATGCAAATATTAGACCTGAAATTTCAGCTAAGAAATTCTTTAAAGTTGCTTTATTCGATCCAGTTTTCGCAAATGTTAAAGATGAACTTAAACAGCAATTCCAACCAATTATAGTAGCAAGAATTGCATCAGGTGCTTTATCTCAAGCATTCAAAGATTTAATTAAGAAACCATTATATCAGCAACGAGGTTTAACTTATGATTTAGTTAAGGAATCAGATAAAAGAAAATTTGAGAAATCAGATGATTATAAGAATGCAATTAATGAATATATTCGGTCTATTAATTTCGATGAAAATGCTAAAAATCAACTTCATGAACAAATACAGGGAATAATAGATTCAAAAGTTCCAGCAAAATAAAAGTTTAAATATATTTTTTTTTATTCGATTATAAATGAGAAGACGTTTCACTAGTCAAAAGAACACTAACGCAAAAGCAGAGATTACGGTTGGTTATAACGTAAATGATGATAAATCACGAATTATTCAAAATGTTAAAGTTAATGTTAGCCCCGAATTAACAAGGTCAGCAACTCAACCAAATTTATTAACTCGTGACTTACCGAAGAATGAGGAGAATGAAGAAAACCATGAGAATGGAGACCCAATCATTTTATCTGAACCTGGTAAAGAACCTGTTGAAATTCCCACTTATCCAACATACCCCCCACCTCTTTCATCAAACATCGAGAACCCATATAAAATAGACATTAATTCAGAATTAATGAAAATTTACCGTGATATAATAATTAATAATTATGATTCAATAATAAATTTAATTGACCAATCCGGTTTAATTATTTTACCTTATGAATCATTAATTCACATTATCGCCATTCTTTGTGATGTTCAAGATTCAGACGTTAAGATTCAATTTTTCATAGATGATGAGGTTTCATGCTGCGGAACAGTTGCAAAAATAAATCCTATAAAGGATATTAGCACAATTAAGATATCAAAGAACGGAACAACAACTGAACTTCATTTAACATATAATGATATTTATAATAAAATAGTTGATGAATATAAAATATCACTTGAAAAAATTCTTTGTTAAGACTATTTAATATTCAAGCATTAACATTATCGAATAATAATCCTTTGAATCATAATCGATAATAATTGACCTTTCACCAGTTTCTATCGTTTGTTTTATTTCTTTTTGTTCCCCACTATCTGGATCGGTCATTGTAATTGTTTTTGTTATAGTATCAGCTTTATCTTTAACTTCAATCTTTTTTCCATCGGGATATTTAAACCAAAATTCCAAAAATTCGATATTGTCAATCTGTTCATATTTTAATCTATCAATTACATTTTTAATACCATCTGAAAATCTTATGAAATGGTCATTATATGGGTTTGATTGAACTAAATTTGAATGAAGTGAAATATAACCTGTTGATGAATATGACATTGACTCATATTTTCTGAAAACACTAAAATTTATAACATGAATGAATTTCTTATTCGTTGAATTTATGAATTCTTGAGGTAATCTTATTCTAGTTTTATTTATCACTGGAAAATAACGCTTTACCATATTTTTAATCGTAATAAAAATGTCAATTATCAATATTATTTCGAATAATAGCTGTGAATTAAATTTAACAGTTAGCGGAATTTATAATGTTACTCTCGTTTCTGTGAGTGGTAAATTTAATCCCATTCTTTTAGACCCTTCAGATTATATATCATTTATTAAAGATGACCTTGAAAAAACGTATGATATGTATATAAATAATGTGATAGCGAAATGGGATATTAACATGATTTTAAGTTATTTAAATGAATCATTTATCGTATGGTATGAAGAAAATTTTAAATCAAAACCTGATAAACTTTTTGAACTTGATGAAATAAATAACCTTATTAAATTTCCGCTGAAAATTAAATTTTGTACTCCTCATTTTCGTTCATTGTTGGGAATATTAAATTTTGAAAAAGATGTTGGGGATGTTTTGTATTCTGACACTGGTTCCAATTTCGTTTTAATCAAATGTGATAAAGTTAATACCCCAATGAGATTTTCACATCAAACATTAGACCCTAACTCTTACCCATCAATACAAAACATTTTATCCATCAACTTAAACACATTTTCTTTATCATATCCGTTTCAATTATCCGGAAATTCATTTATTCTTCATTCAAAAGATTTATCAAATATTAAATTTAGAATAACTGACCTATTTGATTGTGATTTAGAATTCATGAATGAAATATTATGGCAATTTCAAATAGAAAAAATAGGTGATGAGATAACAGATTAAATATTTATTTTTAAATCATAATAAATGATTAAACAACAGCAACCACAACAACTTAAGGCATAAAACACCCAGGTCCCTCAGATCATTACATACGCCATATATGCATATAATTCAAAGACGGCAGAACAAACGCAAAGGTTGAAATATGGAGATTTTGAGATAGTATTGAAAAATGACCATTTCGAATTCGTTTGCAAAGGAGGTGCAGTGATATCAAATATAAAAGAAATTTTATTTATGAATTCAAAAATTAAAGGAATAACGGATGATATAACATCAATTCCACCAGAAGAACAGAGATATTACGCATTAAATGCATTTCCTAAAGTTTTGAAGATTGGAAGATTTAATTTAAATGAGGAATTCATAGAAGGTTTCCTAAACGACATAATGAAGAAGGCAGATAAGGAATATGTGGATAGTGAGTTAAATAAGAAGGCAAATTTGGTTTATGTTGATGAAAAAGATAATGAAATTAAAGAAAAGGTTGAATGGTATCATGAATGGACATTTGAGACTTTTAAAGTTAAAGCTGATACAGAATGGGTTTCAGGATGTTTAGACCTTAAAGCAGATAAAACTTATGTTGATGAAAATTATGCAAAGAAGTCGGAAGTAAATGATGTGATTACAAGCATGAAAAATGAAATACTTCAAACATTATATCCTGTTGGTTCTATTTATACGTCAATGAACTCAACAAATCCTTCAGAAGTTTTAGGTTTTGGTATGTGGAAGCAGATTGTGGATAAATTCTTATACTGTGCTAGATATTCAAAGCAAACAGGAGGTTCGAAGAAAATTAAAGAAGCAAACTTACCCCCACACACTCATACAGGAACTACAAACTTTTCTGGCGACCATAGCCACTCATTAAGAGACCACCCATTATACAACTCAGAATAGGAAGCTGGCTATGATGTTTTATCTCCAGATTATAACCATTCAGCAAAAAAGACTTTTCGACAAACTGAACCAGGAGGAAATCATGTCCATACTTTCACAACAAATCCAACAGGTTCGGGTAAAGATTACATGCCACCATTTGTGACTGTATTCGCATGGTACCGTGTTCATTGAACACGCTTGAGCCCAGACCTTTGGGTTAAGGCTTACCGAATGAACTAAATATATTTTATGTCTGTAATTAATTAGGTAATGAAGTAGCGGATGAACTGCAGAAATAAATGTTTACGTTAATGTTTACGTTAAGTGACTCAAAGAGTCCGGAGACAAAGTCTCATGTTTTTAGGTTATTCAATAATTAATTATTTTTGAATAACTGAAGGTGTTACCATGTTACCATGTGCTACCAGGTTATTTAACTTCTCTTAAAATTACTGACAACATGACATTTTGACAACAGTCCCGGAAATTTGATGCAGTCCAAAAATAAAGTTAGTTTTAAAATTATTTTTATTTTTTTATTTTGTATGTAAGAACAGAAATGTCAGTCGAAGCAAAAACATTCAGCAACAAATCTAATGGCGAAACATTCACAAAAGGCACTTATAATGGTATTGAAGTCTTAAGTAGAGACAAGGATGGTTACATTAATGCAACAAAGATGGCAAGAGAAGCGGGAAGGTTAAACCATTTAAACAGATTTCTCAATAGTACTAAAATGCAGGAAATTCTTGAGTTTTGGTTGAAAGAATATGGTGGAGCCAAAAGTGGCTCGACCTAAAAACAAGCATTTTATGAGCTTACTAGGGGTGTTATAAATAAATTCAAAGGTATTTACATACATCCTGACCTCGTTCATTTTGTTGCTGAATGGTGCTCTGTAAAGTATGCATTTTATGTCAAAGATATTATGGACTCCATAGACAAGAAAGTTCATGAGAAGTTAGATGAAGAAGAACTCGAAGATACAGTAGAGAATGCTAAACCTTTGTTCGAACAAGAAGTTAGAAAAATGTGCGAAAAACAATTAGAACATGAACGTGAGATATATTATGGTTATAGAGATTCTCCATACGAACTAGACCAATGGGAACAAGAAGATTTAAAGAGAGAATTTAGAGAATATGAACTCGCTAAGATAGCATTAGAAACTGCAGAAAAGAAGTTAAAAGTTTGGGGTCGTTTTGTAAAAAAATATTGTGAGTAAATGAACCATTTATTTTTGTCATAAACGACCAAAAATAAATGTTTACGTTAATGTTTACGTTAATGTTTTCAGGTTATTCAATAATTAATTATTTTTGAAGAACTGAAGGTGCTACCATGTTACCATGTGCTACCAGGTTAATTAACTTCTCTGAAAAAATGAGACAACATGACATTTTGACAACAGTTCAGGAGGAAGGCATTTATGAATTATTTTTGAAGAACTGAAGGTGCTACCATGTTACCATGTGCTACCAGGTTAATTAACTTCTCTGAAAAAATGAGACAACATGACATTTTGACAACAGTTCAGGAAATATGATGCAGCCCAAAAATAAAGTTAGTTTTAAAATTATTTTTATTTTTTATTCCTATATAAATGACAGCAACAAACAACAACAGCAACTATATCATTTCTGATGAAAAAGTTATTGATTCATTAGCTGAGGAATTAGTTGTGGCAGAAACTAAAACCCTCAACGAAAGAATTGGTGAAAACAAGATTGATTTACATAACTACCTCAAACACGATGGAGGAAGAGGAGGGAAAACTGGTATGGCTTTATTAGTAAATAAAATTTCAAATTTAACGATTATAGATGTTGATATCAATAAATCGTACAATGATGAACTTAAAGAAACAGTTAGAAAAGACATTTTATCAAAACTTTCGGATAAAGATGTTATCGTTAAAACCGCTTCAGGAGGTCTTCACATTTATTGCAACACTAATTTCTTCTATTCAACCTCGAACAGAATGATTAAATGTTATTCCTGCAATGATTATGATATTGACATAATGACTTCTATGGATGATTCAAAACGTTCTTTAGTGGTTATGGCTGATTCAAGAGTTCGCAAAATGCATCAGAACCAATCAATACATACTCATTCATTCGTGGAAGTTATGATTCAACATTAACTAGAACCGTAAACGATATATTAAATGATTTGAATATTAAGGTAAGAGTTGAACAGAAGAACGAAGAAATAAAGACTATCATGAATGAAAACAAAGATGTAAACATTGACGATAAACTTGCCCAGAGCATAGTTGATGGCATCAGTGATTTTGAAGTACATAATGACGGTGGAAACATGAATTTAGAAAAAGAAATAACATTATTCACACTGTTTCAAGCTATTAATTCGTTACCGGATCATTTGATTAATGAAGCATACGATAACGTTTATAACTTCTGCAATTTAACTGAAAATGCAAAAAGTAATTTTGAAAAAGCATGTAGTAGATATGCACATTTAATGACTTCTCCATTTGTTTTAGTGAAGATTCTAAAACTATATCAAAAGGAATATTATGATGAATACGTTTTGCCTTTATTACGTAAGCCAAAAATAACATTTGATATAAAACTTGATGACTCGTTTTTGATAACAGATATTAGACGCAAGGCTGAAAATCATCAGTATAAAAACAGTTCTGAAGTAATTGAGGATTTATCACGTGTAATCCGTTTTGTAGATTGTGGAAATAAATATTTCATTCAAAAGGACTATAATATCCACGACAAAATGAATCAAATATCATTCGTTCTTCAGTCAAACATGAAAGAGTCACTCAAAATGATTAAATTATTTAAAGAAGAAGGTAAAACAATAACAGCATGGGACGTACTACTAAATCAATTATCCTCATTAACCGTTAAGGGTGTTTGCTTTAAATCTGATTCCCCAGATGTTTTCTCAACGTTTCAGGGTTATAAATACAACATTCTCGAAAAAGTAGATTACTCAAAAATTGAGATGTTTATGAATTTCATTAAAGAAGTCATTTGTGATAATAACGATGAAGTGTATAAATACCTTCTCGGCTGGATTGCATCAATGATTCAACATCCTGGAATCAAGAATGAAACAGCAATTATTTTGAAAGGACTTCAGGGAACAGGTAAAAACAGATTTACAGACATTATTTCTGAACTCCTCGCTGGTTATTCATGTAAAAACATTACCGAAATAAGTGAGCTAACGGGTAATTTCAATTCAGTAGTTGAGAATAAAATGTTTCTTGTACTTAATGAACTCAAGAATGTAGGTGAAGATAGACTCGCAAACTTCAACGCTTTGAAATCAATTATTACGGATAATGAGATTAGAATTAATGAAAAGAATCAACCCAGAAGAACTGCTCAGAACGTTGCAAACTTCATTTTCGTAACTAATAACGTCTACCCTGTCAAAATTGAAGTTGGAGACAGAAGATACGTAGTTTTAAGAGTTAATGGTAAATTCAAGGGTCAATTTGATTACTTCAAGAATTTAATGGATTCATGCACTAAGGAATTTTATGATAACCTTTTAACATATTTTATGCAATATGACCTTTCATCATTTAATGTACGAATCATACCGATGACTGAAGCCAAACAAGATTTAATAGAATTATCAACAAATCCTTTAGATGTATGGATAAATACACATTATGATGAATTGTGTGCAGGTATGACGTGTAAAAATGCTCTATTCTGCAAACCATCAGACATGAAAGACAAGAATTTTCAAATGAGCATTAAGGATAAATGTGATAGGAAACATAGAAGAATAGACGATAAACAAACATGGTGTTATGTTTTGAAAGAAGAAATGAAAGGATTATATAAACAGGTTGAACCAAATGATAATGATGATTCATTTACTGACGATGAAATACCTGTAAATGATGCTTTATAAAGTATGATTTGAATTTATTTTTGCATTAATCCTGAACTGTTGTCAAAATGTCATGTTGTCTCATTTTTTCAGAGAAGTTAATTAACCTGGTAGCACATGGTAACATGGTAGCACCTTCAGTTCTTCAAAAATAATTCATAAATGCCTTCCTCCTGAACTGTTGTCAAAATGTCATGTTGTCTCATTTTTTCAGAGAAGTTAATTAACCTGGTAGCACATGGTAACATGGTAGCACCTTCAGTTCTTCAAAAATAATTCATAAATGCCTTCCTCCTTTCGTCCAGCTGTGTTGTCAAAATGTCATGTTGTCACAAACTTTATTTGCTTAAAGGTGTACTTACCACTTTCAGATATTCCCTCATAATATCAAAACTTTCTTTTTAGAAGCATACTTTTTGATATAATTATAACAGACAAATGAGAGAATGTCTGAAAGTGGTATGTGCACCCTTAAATAGAGTAAAAAATCGAGATAACAATTGAGATATTTCTTCTTCAAATAGGATCCGTACTGTCTAATAAGTTGAAAAATTTTGACATTCGAAATTTAGGTAAAATTATGACATTTAAGGAGAATTATAAGCATTCTTTGGATTTTGAAAATAACCTTATTCTGAAATTTCATAAAAATTATTGGTTGTTTGAATAAGTTGATTCTCAGTAAATATTTGGGTTTAAACTAGGAAACCCTAAGTAGATTAGTTGTTGACTCTTTACAAAAGTAAGTGTATGTTGAGATTATCCTTAGACAACTTTATTTAACTACTTTTTGAGATATTTTGTATAATCAAATTTTTTATGATTTCAAAAAGTGACAAATCTAAATATCGAAATGAAAAAAGAAAAAATGGGGCGATCCGGGAATTGAACCCGGGACCTCCTGTACCCAAAACAGGAATCATACCACTAGACTACTCACCCAAACACACTAAATCAAAGTTTTACCGACAGTTCAAAGTATTCGACT